TACATGTTTATAGTAGTTTTGAAGAGTAAAAAAAACTTTTTTTTAAGTTAAAAATATAAATTAATTTGTTGTAATGAATAACAAATTGATATGCATTAAACACTCCGTAGTATTTATACATCTGTGGTCATATTTGGATGGAGATACAGTATGAAACTGAATAAATATTAGATATACTACACAAACTTCTTTATCAACAAAAGTTCTTATCAGCGGTACTGAAAGGTTAAAGAGGCTCCTGGACCACAACGCTAACCCGAGTCGCCTCTTTCCATTCTTCATGCTTGCAGTTTTTAATTTTCCCTTTTTAATTTCATTTTTTTTTAAATTGACTTTATTATGTGACCAAACGCTAGTCCTTGGACACATTAAAATAAATATAATCTATAATTCAACACAACAAAAGAGTGTTTTGGCAATGAATTTGATTTTGTGTGGTTTTGCACACAATATAATCAGGCTGAGTGTGGAAGCCTTTATTCCAAGGGCCTTGATCTGAACAAACTTGAAACAGAATGCCCGAGGATTCTTATATATACGAAGGACGTTCAATAAATAATGTCATTAGCTCGATGACATACAGCATAGAAATCAAATGACATTAAGCTTGACGTTCTCTCATTATTGAATCTTTAATTAATTGATAACAGTTTATGTGACCACTTTTCATCGCATTATTTCATTGCTGGAAGCTGGAAAACAAGGGCTAGTCGAGACACTACACTTACGAACTTAGAAAAACAACCATTAGAAAGGGAAAAAAAACAAGCACAGCAAATCATAGGATATGCCATATTCCAGTATACGGAGGGTCATACTCAAAAATTAGTTCTAAAAACAATTAGAAATTGAATAAAAATGTTACGGACATGTGTTTTAATGCATGAAGACTAAATTATAGGAAAAACTTTTTTTGTTTCCTTCCGAGTCCCAATGACATTATTTATTGAACGTCCCTCGTAATTCGAGCATATGACTACTTGCGGCTTTAAATTATATTGCTGTTCATTTGATAAATATTTTTCCAATACTAGTACTAGTATTTTGTTATAGAAATTTTGATCGCCTAGTACTTTACCCCCTCCCTTTTATGACTTTGGTATGTCAAGTTTTTAGAATCTAAAGATTAAAGGGAAAGTACAAATTGACCTTCTAATGCAAAATAACAATGCTAGTCTATATGCAACACAATACTTTGCCATAACCTTCGTTCGCAAGAAAGATTGATAAACTTGAAAAGTATTCATATCTCACTTCTTCACTGGAATATGATCATATGAGGTTTTCAATGCAGTATTTTTTCCCCAACAAAAACAGGATTTTCATCCCCTATCCACAAATTAATCTTACTCCTTTCTGCTTCATTTCAAATCTGTATCACACAGATGTATGAGATAGTCACTTTTTTGTCCTTACTTTTCTAATTTGAAAAAAAAATATTTTCTCAATGTTTTTATTGCTTTATTACAATACCAATTCACAAAATTATCAATTATCAAAATTGATGAGAGTTTTTATAAAATTTGGAATTTAGTCCAGCTACTTTGCCAAAGAACAAAATAGTTGATAAAAATCAACACATCTGACACTGAAAACACATAAAAAAATTTCAATATTCTCGTATAAGTAGTCCACCACCAGTATGAACATTAAAGTACTTTACAAAAGGGTCCATTGCAAACTGGGATATTTACATAAACGACACAATTCGTGAAAATCTCGGAAACAATTTCGAGGCGGGCCCTTGCACAACGGAATGTCACAAACAGAACATTTGGCGCGCGTGCGTACAGCCAATGTTCCATCATTAGTTTTACGACCCAAATGCTTGCAAACAAGGCAATATTTTTGTTTTCCTTGCAAACTTTCCGTAACATGAATTCGGTTTTGATCCATGTGAGGTAATTCGGACTGCAATTTCAAAAAGTCTTCCGGAGATAACTGATTCTCCATTTCCACAGCTTGTCCAGCAGTTTGTCGATGTTCCCCTATTTCAGTGTCCCCTTTTATATAGTCCCCACTGACAAACATCTGACCCAAGGTTTGATCAACAGACGTTGTCGCGTTCGAGATATTTTCTTTTGACAAGTATGACGCCGGTATGTGTCTAGGGGGAAACCGGATGTTGGATGAGTGATCAGAGTGGTGATGAGAATGCAGCACGCCATGCCCTGCAAAACAGAAACAAAAAATATTGCGAGGGCATGGCATACAATTAAAACACTAAATCCAGAATTAAATTATCTGTTTTCTGGTGTAACCATGTTATTTTTTAATGGACATCAATGCATATTATTCTTAAAAGGTTTCAAACATTAATTCACTTATCAAATAACATGTATATCATTCAATGATTAAAAGAAACCCAATCCCGCATGCAAAGTATGAAGTGATTAAAAATAAAATGCAATAGGGTGTTATTTACGAATTTGTTTTTGTGTAGGGTAAACATTTGTGTTTTCTGGTAATCTTGCTTTTAAAAATACATGCATTTTATATCTGAATTAAAAAAAATAAAAAGATGAAAATAGATAAAATTTATTTAAAATCAACAAATACAGCAATTTGTAAGATATAGCTGATAAATTCTCTACATAATTAGATATATCATTATGAATACATATACAAATCTGGCTATAACATGCAATATAGTTCATTCTAAAAATTTCTTTTTCACAAATGGTGGACAATGTTCTGTATATGGAATGCTTTACACACAATAACACAAGACTATTTATTTTACATCAAATATGGAATAAAATTAATATCTGTCACCCACAAAAAAAGTGTAATAAAAGTTTTCTGCTTTCATTCATCTGTGGGTTATTTTCAATAATTGAATACTAGGGGGAATTTTCTAAAATCACCTTCTTTTTGATATATAATATATTTTTAAAAATGAAAATACATGTACTTGTCAATAAGTAAAGGGTAAACATAGCAAAGCTTGTGACATTCAGCAAAAATATTACATTTTGTTTTTAAAATACTTCACAACCCCTGAGTAACAATGGAATTATTTTGCACTATTATACAACACTTTTAAGATTTTATTAATGCTTATACTTAATTTAATTTGTAAGGTTACATATGTTAGAATTGTATTTTTTGGTAAATATTGCTTGATGTACAACTTGAGCAAACTTTAATTACTGCAGTGCTCTTTTGACTAGATTATGATTTAAGCTTCTGGTATCACACATACTTAAACTTTAACATCTCAGTCTTACATAATAATCAATTTATGTATTTTTGTTTTATTCCTAATTTTAACATTTATCAAATTCCATATGACAGAAAAGATTTTTTTTTCTAAATTTGTAACTTATATAATATTAACATAAGCTTATATATGTAAATATCCGAAAAATATGAAGAGAAAGTTATCAATTTTCATATCTCTTTCAATGTATCATACCACGAATGTAAAATAAATACTTTTGTACCAGGAAATTAAATTCTCAGAATTTTTAGAACATAAAATGTTTAGACACCATCCAAAAGCTTTGGTGACCTTGAAAACCTACTTCTATCTTTCCAATGGTTTAAGTGAATATTGAGTGAGGAAATTAATTTCAATGTTACTATCAAAATTTAGACATCATTTGAGACAATTTTTTTCCCAACAGATTTTTTTTCACCTTGTTACCAAATTCTTGTCTCTATTTGATTTGTTATTTTATATACAGAAACTGTCTGATATATTTCAAAGAATGGAAATGGAAAGTATATAGTAATATAATGAACAATAAATGTGCTTCTAACAATAGTCTCTCACAGTCCTTCACATGTTTCATTACTAAGATAATGCAATTTTTTCCAGGTGGTATTAATTTCAAATATGTGTGTACTGTTACAGAAATTTGCCCAGTGAACTTGTAGCACATCTATTGTCATCTAAGGCAAAACAAGGTGATCTAGGAAATCTGCCTTACATTCTGCCCCGTGGATTGAACATAAATTAAAATTCTATATAAAAATGACCCCATCAAAAAAAATATATTGACAGTATATTATCTTGACAGTGAAATAACAATTAAAAAATGAGGGATCAAAATTTTGGAACAGGGTTGATCTAGGTAAGTATTTGGTAAATGTTGAATGAATATGTTGTCTGTAAAAGGCCATTATTGGCAATGAACATTATCTCTGCCCTTCAACACCAAAGCTTTGTTATAAAATTCTACATTATTATTTGCATAAAGTTCTTATAATCTTTTTAATCCAAAAGTATATTCTAGATGATGAATTTGAAAAAAATATACAAATATTTGCATGCCTGTATACTAAGTCCGTTAAGACTGTACAAATGATACTTTCAGTTTAATTTTCTCACACTCATACAGGAACATACCAAAGTTAAATTATTGTGAACACTGATACATAATATTGCACTGCAGAACTTGTGAACCTTAAATTTAACAATTGTTAAGTTTAACTTTTTTTTTAAATTTCATATTTCACAACAAAAATCCAGAAAAAAATATGTAAATCAAAAAAATAACATATCCTGAATTTATTCCTCATCACACAGAGCAAGTCAGGCATTTCAAATAATGATAAACATTTTAAAATATAACCAACACCAAGAAATAACATGATTAAAACAAAAAAACAAGTACATGCATAATTATATATTGAGCAGCCTTGTCTCAAATCACAGTCAGTCAGTGTGCACCAGAACCATTAGTCCAAATTCTAATCAAAATTTGACCTGATTAAAACAAGTACACAAGTTTCAGTTTTCTGGACCAGTGGTTCTTGAGAAGAAGATTCTATATATTTCTATGTAAAACTGCTGACATGCCATTAACTTTTAGATATAGGAATTAACAAACATTTCACTGTTCTTTTCTGTTTAAATCTTTATCCCTTTTACCAGTGGAAATTTCCTATTTGTGTACATGCAGTGCTGTTCAGAACAAAATATGCCATTTAATAATATAGAGAAATTAACAAACATTTCACCATGTTCACAGTTCTTCTGTTCAAATCTCTATCCCTTTTACCTGTAGAATTTTGCTATGCATGTACTGCTGTTCAGTACAAAATAGTGCCAATTAATAAATAAAGCCTTTTTAATCAAGGTGGTGGAATGTTGCAAAATGTTTCTGGTGCACACTGATCATTTACCTAACTCTAAGTACAGTACAACCTTAGTCTCATTGATAAATGCTCTCTTGAATAAAAACAACTTTCATCTTATACCCCTACGATAATATTGTCACTGTGGAGGAAGACTGTCATTCACGTCTGGACTGATGATAAACCGAGCATTGGCTCCTCTTCCTGGGTACTGATACACTGAAGCATGGCTCCACTTTAAGTCAGGAAATTTGAATTTCTTGTACAATTCATGGAAGTCACGGAAACAGTTCCTTGGGGGTCCTTTGCATAAGGGGGTATCACAGGCATTACACTTGGCTCTCGTCCTAACCTTTAGGAGCCCCTCGTTGGTCTTTCTGCCCAAATACTTGCAGAGGACACAGTTCTTTTGCTTGCCTTGCAAACTCTCGGTGCAATGGACACTCACATCACTGAACGAAGGAATCATACTTGACAGTTGAGCAAACTCGTTTTCAGTCATTGTGGACACAAGACTGCTGGCCGACATTAATTCACCATCAGCAGATACCGAATCATCCATAGATTTGTCATCCTCTTTGCCAATTATACTCTCTTTGTAATCAATTACAGGTTCAAAATGCTTTTTCTTTTTGCGTCTGCTACTGCCTCCGTTTGGTGGCGTGACATACACAGAAAGAGGAGGGGGTTCTATGGGGGTCAGACCACCACTAGGTGGAGCTGCATACATGGCCAGTTGGGTGAGAACCTCGGTTGCTCGATGTGGTGTGCTTATCCAACCATGCTCTGCAAGAGACAAGAGAAAGAGTTTCATTACAGAGCATGGCTCACAAGACACACACACAACATGGAAAGCTTCTTTACATGAAAGCTAAGCTTGATTTTTTACTTTTATTTTTTGCTTGAAACTTCTTATTGAAAACTACATGGGTACAAACTGCAAGATGCATAGAATGTCTTGTTCGCTTACATTTTTCAAAGGAGAAAAAAATTTTCAATTGGCAAAATACATTTCCACTTCTTGCTTTTTGTAATTTTTTTTTCCGGAGCAAATACAAGTAAATAACTCTTTGATATTTCCATCTTCAGACCAATTCTTTAACACATGTTCAATCATGCCAAATTTCTTTTATCTTGTGACAGACAAAAGACATCCTATGAGAAACGCAGATGAACCATTTACCGGGAAGTACATGTAACCCTAAGATTTGTACATTTTATGATTTCTGTTGCTGACAGTTGTATTATTTCTGTCAAATATCAAAAGACTTCCAATCTTGACTCACAGCCTTCTGTAAGACCAGCAGTTATATTTGTACTTTGAGATATCACTCTTGATGCCAAATAAAAATATTCCAATCAATGTCCTGAGACTCAAAAATTAATGTTTATTAATAAAACATACTGTACATTGTTGAACATTTTAATACTTTTGATATGGCATCAACAAATGCTGCCTGCACAAATTACTTTTGACAAACATGTAATAATAACTTAATAAGTACATTCCTTGTAAGTTACGTATGCCTTACTTAAATTTTCAGCAAAGTGAGTTTGACATTAAAAACAGCACAATAAAAAATGCATATGCATTGACAAGTAATCCAATTTTTTTTCAAAGATAACTCTTGTCAAATTATTTAGAATGTGAAGTTCCCATATTTATATTTTCTTTTCAAATCTTCATGAGACAATTCCGGGTTGCACGATCTCAGTTTATGGTAGCCCTGAAAGCACGCTTGACCCGTTCTGCACAATGCAACATCACACTCAGAGCAGACATAGTGCGATTTGACAGGCCAGCCTAGTTTGTGTTTAGTATTGCGCATGCTGCAGTAAACACAAGCACGTTTCTTGGAGCCAGGCAACCTTTTCAAATAATGTCCAGGGAAGCTATCACTGGATTCACTTTCTATCCCTGCTTCTTCCCAATCGTTTTCATTCTTACCTGGAAGCAGAAATAGCTCTACGTTTTTATCCGACCAAACTTTTTTTTATTTTGCTGAGCATTAAGAAATTCATGCAAAAATTTTTCATATTTTCATTTTTATGATTTTATTTAAAAAATTTTAAATAAATCTAATTCAAGATAACATTAAAAAATGGCTCTCTAAAGTCAAAAACATGCATTAAAATTAAATATTATATTCAATCAAAATCAATTTTGAACTTTGTATTAAAAAATGAAAAAATGCAATGGTATTTTTAGTTTATAATTACGTAGTTTTAAACCAATAAGTAATAATTAATAGAGAAAAGAAAGTGAATCCAGTAATTTGCATAACAGCATGCTTTATGATTTATCAACTGTCTATCCTCTGGACAGAACATTGAAACTGAAAGTTTTTAGAACAAGTCATATTGAGTGTATAGAAAAGTCATCAAGGAATAATTTGAGCAGGCATCATGTTCTTGATGTACATGTTTTGTTTTTTTTTTGTTAAATTCTCCATGATCAAAAAGGTCAAATATATGTACTGCAAGTGTATTATCACTTGCAAGTGTATTTTCACTACTGCGGGTAATTATTTGTTGGATCCTGTATAAAGGGTAGAACAAGTCCATGATCTATTTGAATTTGTTCAAATGTGATGAGTTTAGAAACAGACCGGGGTACTTTAGTTTATATGACTGTGTTAAATAGTCTACAGAGGAGTAGACCAACAGATGTGCCACAGTTTGAACAGGCTTAAATCAAGTTCATGTTCAGAATTTGAAACCACAGATCGTTCAACTTATGTCCAGTATGCAAACATTTTTCACCCATGCAGTAGCACAAAAAACATTTGATACTCCATCAGGGTTTAAAATTAACTGAAATTTCCATTAGCCATGTGGGCTCCTAACATTTCAAATTTAGGAATACACTAAATTTGAGAGAGACAGTCAGTTCTTGGAAGTTCTTATGTATCATGTTTATAAAAATCAAATGTCATATGAATATTTGATCAAAGGAAATAGAATTGAATTCAAGCATCACTTTTACAATATTTTTTACATCCTAAAACATACTTTGTCAATCTTATAATAACAGATGTATTTAACTTTTATGTATTCAACAGCAAATATAACATATAAAATGAGCAATAAATATATTTTCACAAATTTTATGAGGAGATTGAGAATGGTGAGGTTTTATAAGGAAATCTGACTAATACTAATAGAAGTGTAAAGTACAGAGAAATGCTAATTTGTGTAAAAACTTCTAAAACAGAATGATTTTGTTACCACAAATTTGGTTTTGCCCCTCCCCCACCTATTTAAAATGTTTAATGAATAAAAATCTTTTAAGATCCATTGCATTAAAGGCATTAAACCCTGTCCATACTTTGTGGAAATTTCAACTCAAAAGTGAAAAGTGCATAATTGAGAAATATCACTAAGTTCTAACCTGAGACAATACTAACCTTTGAAATTTGGATCCACCCACATAGTTTGATCCCCAAAAACATACTGTTGTCAATCTGATTGACATATCCTTTTATGAATTCAACAGCAAATTTTACACATAAAATGAGCTATAAATAAATTTTTACAAAGTTTATGAGGAGATTGAGAATGGTGAGGTTTTAAAAGAAAATCTGACTAACCCGTGTCGTGTAAAGTGCAGAGAAATGCGAGTCCAAACATCTCAGCATGATCCCCAAAAATTTGGGCCGTCATTGTCCATAGCCTCATTCTTTACAATACTGAGGTCAGGTTCACCATGCAGGGAGCTGAAAAATAACAAAATCATAAACATTGACAAATTTGAAAATATTACAATTTGCTTTCTGGTAATTCATGAAAATTATCGGATCCTAATTGTTAGATATATATGTACCTACATTGACAAAACTTTCAATTTCAAATTTTATTAATTGAAAGGCAAAATATTAAATTATAAAGATTTTTCTTTGCTGAGCTCTGCATGCTCCATCACACAGTAATCAAATACATGTACAGTATTCAAATACTATTTATATTTGTATCCTCTTTAAAAGACTGCTCTTAACTCTAGTCTTCCTGGATTTTGAACCTTGATTTGCAATATTAAAGACAATGTACCTTTTTTCTTTCCTTGCTTCATTTGTCTGGGAAGCACCAGGCCTGCCTGACTTACTCCCCCTCTCTGAAGTGACAGGAGTTGTAAACATTGATCTGCCTCCCTGAATATCTTGACTTGATAGAACTGGACTGCTAGGAACTAAGGAAGAATTTGTAGACCTTGTCATGTGCTGCATGGCTTGTACCGGTAATGGCAAGGAATCGGGAGGTCGCTCCGTTGCTTTTGGCCTACGCAGAGTGGGTACGTCCTCACCGTGTCTGGATGAGGATGTGGATAATGGGCGATGTGAAGTCAAAGGTGGAGGAAATGAAGAATCTCTCAGATTTGACAGAGCACCGTCTGTGTTGGCAAAGTTTTCCAGAGGATTCACAGTTATGGAGTCATGGGAATGGTGGGAAAGGGCTGCACTATTGTTGCTAGCACTTGGGTGTTTTGATTTTTCTTTTGATATGTCAATGACCTGTAAATCCGAAGAATTGTCTATCTGACTGGCGATTCCTACAGACACTGCTTCATCCACACTGATAGTGTTTGTGTCTGGGTTGACCTCTGTCTGCACAAGTTCTATACTGTCCTCCACAATCTCCACTGGGAACACAGGTTGTTTCTGAGAACCACTGTTTGATCTTTGACTAGAGTTCACTGCACCAGAGTGATTCATGTGTTTTTCTTGCTGTGCGTAACTCTGAGCCATCGATAACCTATCTGCGATCACTGAAATATCCGAGGGGCTTCCGATCCTGAAATGCTTAGGTCTCTTCGTGCTTGGGCTACCCGCTCTGAGGAAATCTGTGGATGGCCTCTTTAGTTTGTCCTGCACTGTTTTCTGTAAGTCTGAAGATCTAACGTGACGGAACTCGATCATGTCATGGAATGTATAGCGATACTGTTCATTACTGAAGTTTCCAGTCCCGGTCTTTAAGCTTACACATTTACTGAAGTCTGCACAACACTTGATAACACTATCGACCTGTAGCAGTCTGGCTATTTTCTCCACTTCTTTACAGTTCTCCTCAGTAAGCATCATGAAGCCTTCATACAGATATTGTAGGAATGTGTTTATGGAATCTGCTGCAATGTCTGCTGCCAGACGGACCTCCAGATGGGAGCCCACTGAAGACTTTTCCATGGACTGTAACATTGGACAAGCAGCTACTAAAATTACACGATGGGCCTATAAGAAAGAAAAGAGTTCATGTTATTCTTTATGCTAGGCAAGAATTATAACATAATTAAAATATCATAACAAAATATCTACTTCTATCATAGTGCCAAGATATAATTAAAATTCTAAAAGAAAATACTTTTATCACCACCAAACAATTTGTGATTACAATGAAAAGTTGTAGCTTTGTAAAACCTTGTTATTCATAAAATTCCAGGCAGTTCTCTGTAGAAATTTTACTTCAAGTGAGAGCTACCCTCTAAATTTACTTCATTAATACAAACCAACTTTTAGAAATTTTTTCACTAGAGCATCGTCATCTCAAATATTTCTCCCTTCCCTAATTCTTGTCTATTAACAACAGTATTGATCGCGAGTCGCTACCCCCGGTAAATCGTGAAATAAAGTCGTCGCCAATAAAAGTTGGTTTAATGTCAAACATTAATGAGATTGTGATGAGGGTTTAGTTACTTTGATAACCGTGGATCCTGATCTGATGATGGCATCACAGAGCACCTGGCTCTTCCACATGGTAGACAGCTGATACAACAGTGAGCTGGAGTGGATCTGGTTAGTGTAGAACTTTTGGTAACAATTGGACAGCATGATGTAAGTTGTCTCAAATTTTCAACTCAAATGATGTGTTCACTAGGTCCAGAATTCAAATTGATCATGAACCTGTAATAAAGAAATAAAGGAAAAGTTAAACTGAGTTTAACAGAAACAATGAAGTTTGAAAAGCCTATAGGAGGAGATTTTCTGCTCCATTTGGGGAATCCTTCGAATTGGGAATTTAACATTTTTTCACTCATTGGGATATTTTATTGCATAATAATAAAAATTTATGATGAATAAAATTGATCTTTTCATTATTCTGAACTGTAAATCAGAGAAAAGATCAATAATTATAGCGAGCACAGCAAGCTCAATAAACTAACATATAAGAACAGAGAGAAAATTCGGAATGAAATCTGTACATACGTCAGGCAAATTTTTCTGTGAAACATTTCCAGAATTCCTTTACTACCCAATGTCCTTTGCGTGAATAAATAAAAAAAATAAATAATTATAACGTAAAGCATAAAAGGCTTTCAGTTTGTAGAAATCTTTCAAGAAACAAAAAATAACTCTGCAATGTTTTTCGACCAAAATTGCACTAGGTCTATAGTTTCATTGACAACCAGACACTCGGCTGTCTCCGTAAGCTCTGACGAGCTCCGTGACGTCCTGTGACGAGATGTCTCGTGCGGCTTGATGTTTGAAGTGGCTGATCAATTTTTCAAATGTTTTTGATGGTACAACTGCACTCGCCCCAATGGTCACACCGTAAAACATATTAATAAAGGATTTGATCACATAAACTTTGTGGGTTCATTTCTGAGAAAAAGAAGGGAGGGCTTTTGCAGTTGGGAATGGGGCCTATTTTCAATCCTACATGGGGCAGTAGAACATGTTAAAAATCCCTGATAAATTATGTTTTAAAACAGTGTCACAATATCATTTTCTTCTTAGGTGAGATGACATACAAGAAGTACCTTGCAAGGGTAAAAAACAAAAGTTTTATAGTTGTAGGGAGTTAAAAAGGATGTCCAACGTAGATATTTAAACATGCTGAGGCTGGCTATAATTAAATTAAACCCATTTTTCTCGTTAGGAGAAGGCACGATTAAGGCAATTTTTCATTTTGAGTGGCACTGGTCTGAGATTGATCACAGTACAAAATTTTTAATCTCAATGAGTCTTGCCGAGATTATTAATGGAATTGAACAAAACCATTCTTCTGTATTGGCTGCCAGGCTGGTAAATAAATATCGACTCCAATACTGTGAAATCACATATTTTCGTGGGGGTAAATTTTCAAGGTTTCATTAAAAAATATTGAGGTGGGGATTTGATTTCATGGTTGGAGAAGTGTTGAGTAGTAATGCATAATAAATTTTACATTTCATGGTGGTCATGAATATTCATGGGTCTCTCCATACCTTTAAAACAACAAAAATTAAACCCCCCACAAAAATTAGTGATTTCACAGTCTGTATGATGGCCACTAGAAAGGGGTAAAACCCTCAACATATGATTTGGTGGTTTGTACCCATGCAACCTGTAATTTTTTTTTTCAATATTAACTTGTGTCTAAGCCACTTCAGAAGTTTATTAGATAGAATGTTCTATCGTTAAAATGATATTGTCCTACGGACCCGGTTTAACGATAGAATTCGTTCCGTGTATTTGTAATGTAGCAGAAAGAAACACGGGCGATAACTCGCATAGTGCATTTACTAGGAACAATCTAGAGAGTTCCGAATGTAAACATGGAGGTAATTTGAATCGAGAGAAAAACGTTGAGAAAATTTATTGGATTTTCGTCTTTAGATGGATTATTTTTGGGGATAAAAGGCATAAGCAATCTCAAAAAGGTTTGTTTTGATTATTTGGATAGTTATTTCCAGTGCAAATCATTTTATATTCTTCAAAATCTTTCGGAGCGGATCAGCTCCGATCTGCTACATTGCAAGTGTATGGGACGTATTCTAACTGTGGTGAGGGCTTGTACCGAGACACAGTTAGATTATTCTAACTAGAAGTTTATAACCTGTATAATGCAGAATATACTAAATTCATGCATGTAAAAATTAAAATAAAATAGTTACGCAACTCTGCTATTAATCAGGCCACTGTTTAAGGAGAGACTAGTTCTGGAATTCCCGGCAAAATAGAAATGGAAGATTCGTCCCAGATACAGAATATTATGTGGGCCGGAAATGTCACCCTACTAAAGGATTGCAAAGATCGGATGATCGAAAAAATAATTTGAGTTTTGATTTTACAACTTAAAAGAACTATATATAACTGAATCCAAATAAATAATGTACCCCTCTTGAATACAAAGGTCAGTTAGGAAAGTCCTCTTCTCTGGTCAGTTTTGGTCTAACTCCGCCATTGTTCGTGTGGTGTCAAAGCTCAAACTAATTAACGACATCGGGTCTCCACATGTAAAGCTCATTCAATAAACCTTTTCTTTAAATATTATTGTAAGATTTTATTTGAGATCTTTTTAAATAAACATGATTTATTTTTTAATTCAATCCGATCTAAATGAAATATCTATTTGTTTTATTTAAATTAGTAAAAAATTATTTGAATAAAAATAAAATCCACTCATCTCTAACTATTCTTCATGAGATATGGAATTTTTATCGTATGATGTCTTTTTAAAAATAATCTAAGAACAAATTAGATTAAAAATTATTATCAAACTATAAATTTAAGTCTTTCATTAACAGAAACTTAAATTCCAGATTTTACTGATATTAGTGTCATCAGTCCATGTTTACCTTGCCATGTGGGAGAAGTGATGAATGGCAACAAGTATGAAAACCCTCAGTGTATATGGTGAACAAGTTGAAAATAATCGTGTCTAAGGGTAAAACTCAAAGTCAAAACTTATAATTTGCACATAGTCATGATATAGCTAACTGGCTGGCGTCGATATATCAACTGAGCAAGTGAGGTCATTTAAGGGTTTCTCAAAGGGTCTTGATGAATATTTTTTTTTTATTGTTTTAGGCTCATCATTATCTGACACTTAAGACCAAGATTTACAACAAATCAGCTTATATGAAAACAGCTCAAGATTTTAAGAAATTCAAAGTTTCAAACCAATATAAACAAGAGGCCGAGGGGCCACATCGCTCACCTGAGCAACTGGCTAGGTAAAAGCAAAAATCAGGACAGCATTGAAAAAGTTTAAATATAAAAGTGGGTTCAGGGCAGGGGGGGGGGGGGTATTAGAACAAACTTAAGTCTATACTTCCTACAGATGCTTTTAAATTAATGTGATACATATATAATGGCTTTGCTGTTCATAAGATAAATTAGATTTTTTTATATATTTTTTTTATATAGCCTTTATATTCCTTTGTATAAATATGATCCAATTTAATGACTCTTCTATCTCATGGATCTACATTACCCTTTTGAATGCTTTTATATTGATGATCAATCGTCACTCATGGCTTTGTTGTTCTTGTAAAGAATTTTAGTGATTATTCCTATGTATTCCTACGTTAAACCTTGATCACCCATTGTGGCCCCACTCTACCCCCAGGGGTTATGACTTGAACAAACTTGAATCTACACTGCATGAGGATGCTTCCACATGAGTTTCATCTTTCCTGGCCCAGTGGTTCTTGAGAAGAAGATTTTTAAAAGATGCCAATCAATTTTTCACTAATTCATAATTATCTCCACTTGGAAGAGGCCTTGGCCCTTCATTTGAAAAAACTTGAATCCCCTTCACCCAAGGATACTTTGTGGCAAGTCTGGTTGAAATTGACCCAGTGGTCCTTGAGAAGATGGAAATGTGAAAAGTTTTTGACAAACAACAATGCCAATGACGACGGACAATGGACAAATTTTGATCAGGAAAGCTCAATTGAGCCTTTGTCTCAGGTGAGCTAAAAATGATCCCTCTGCCTTAAATTTTTTGTAGTACTTCATTCTCAATGATACATTTTATCACAGATATATTAACCCAGGTGGGAAGGAGGATCAGTAGCGGATCCAGGAATTTTGTAATGGGACGGTGTGGTAGATGGCAGGTGGTCGGGGAGCTGCACTGAAGCCCCCAGTGGGTCTAGGGCAAGGCCCTGGTGGAGGTCCGTGGGCAAATTCCCTGGAAGATGACAAATTTTTACAAATAAGAGATGTTTTTCCCTTGATTTTAGAATAATGGACATATAAATTTTATATACAAAAAATTCAAACAAGAAGGTGCATGCCAGGTGCACCGGGACATATAAATTTTATATATAAAAAATTCAAACAAGAAGGTGCATGCCTGGTGCGCCGGCCCTGGGTCCACCTTTGAGGATGGCATTGTCCTATGCATCCTAATATTTCTGATTTATAATATGCCTTCCCACACCCAGCCCCACCCAAAACTGAAAATTTAATTGATTCATGCTTGTGGCCATGCATGCACTAAACTAATACTGGTTCCTTCTGGTCTGACTACATCTCTCCTATTTTAACTTTCTTAGTCAAACTTACAAGGTTTTTTGTCATATTCTTATCTGAGCACATGTCATTCCCGCATACATCTGTCTATATATCTATGGGTCAAGAAGTGGGGCTGACACGTCTCAGACTTAGGAATCCAAATGTCATACCCTGGTATGATAATCATTATGTTTTTTTCAGGTGTTGGAAGAATGCAGCCAATATTGAGTCCTCTAAGTGTATTTATGAGAGCTGGTTTGAAGAGGACCATCAGACCACAATGCCTCAGATCATTCCATGCTGTGTCCTCCAGTATTACATATCCAGTAAAACCATGTGTCGACCCTCATGACAACAAAAGAAAGCATCCAAGCATCCAAAATCATGAAACCAACATTAATCGATCAATATCTTCACAGTCTATTAGAGATTCAATGTCAAACCTGGTAACAGAATATTTTGGGCCAGAGACATTGTTTGTGAACTCTGCAATGAAGTCGTTAATGTTCTGTCATGACGTCACAGGATTGCCCTGGTGGGCTACAATTTGTGTGGTGACTGTTGGTTTGAAGACACTTTTAGTTTTTCCACTTTCGGTTCATGGGAGGAAAGTTAATGCTAAGCTTGTTTTAATGAATGAGAAAATGTTGAAGATATTTCCAGAGTTAGAGAGAGAGGTGCACATTGAAGCTGTAAGAAAAGGATGGACCCAACAGGAGGCCAAAATGGTATTTCAAGTTAATGTAAGTGAATAAAAAAAAGTGCAGTGACGGCCATAATTTTGCCGTAAGAGAATTTTCAGCAAATGGTAGTGAGAGTTTTGAAGGAACTGAAGACAGTAAATATTCCAAGTTGATACAATTTTGAAATGTACAATTGATTTTCCAAATAAATGATAGCATTCAGATGTATATATATATATGAATGACAAGTTGTACAGATGTAATTCATTTTGTATAAAATTGGTGTTTATTACAATTATGACATGAATAAGGCAAAATCATCTTCATATGAGATTATTTCCCGTTTTTTTTATTGTAGAAAAAGAAGATAATAAGAGAACATTACATAAAAGAGAACTGTCACCCAATGAAAGGCTTTGCCTCTCTGTTAACACAGCTACCTCTCTGGTTGTCTGTCTCCTTTGCTTTGAGACATTTATCAGGATCATTTTATTGGGCAAGTAAAACTGAAGGTAAGTAAACTTTATTATAAATTAAATCTGAGTTTATGCTAAAGTAGATTTCTTAAATTAAAAAGATGGAGTTATATTTACCAAAGTACTTGTAGATTCTGTCCATAAAGTCAGGAAAGTGGGAGAAATATTTTTCTCCCTTTTCCATATGCTACAACTTAATACTAGAAGAGATTCACACAATGTTTAGTCGTCCTTTATTTGCTGTGTTTGTTTTCTGCAGTTAAGAAGAGAAATATAAAGAGTATAGACATATAAATTGGAACTAATAGTCTTGATCATCATCTTTATTGATTACAATCTGATTTCTATTGCATATGAAAAAAAATATTGTTATTTATAAAACCAAACTCAAGTAAATATACTTGCACCTAGTAATCTCATTCCTTCAATTTTATTTTATTTTTTAGCAACTAAATATATAGCCATAGATATGCAGAATGAAGGAGTGCTGTGGTTCAGCAATCTTTTCCAGCCAGATCCTTTCTACATTTTACCAATTATTCTTCTGTCAACAAATCTTGCCATTGGTGTAGTAAGTACATATTGTTTTTATGCAAAAATTGAATGGTCTCCCTTGTAGTAGATTGAATCAATGTAAGATGGCAGTTTTTACCTGTTCCAAGAGGGTTCTATCGTCATTAGTTTTCATTCCTTGGATGTAATCGTAAGACTTGGCTAGCAAAGATGATAGATCTCCTTCTAAGTGTAATTCTATCAAATTTTGATCATAGAAGTCTTGTCCTTCACATTATTTCCAAGTTTGAATTTTATTTTTATTTTTTAATTGCAGATAAACCTTTATGAACTCAGGAAAATGAAGAGAGGAAATTTAGCCAAAGTACTTACAGGAATGATGATGTTTTATTCTGTTGCCATATTTTCCATTAGCATCCTGATGCCTTCAGTAAGTGTATATAATGTTTATTTCCTTAATTGTGTCACCTATAGAGCAGAGCAGCACTAAGGGATCACTTTACCCAGCGTGTGTCTGTCTGTTTGTCTGTTTGTCTGTCACACCTTGTATCTCAAGAACTGTAAGAGATATGGAGTTTATATTTTGCACATTTATTGCTTGGCACTAAATTGCCATGGTTATTGACTTCATGACCCTTGACCTTGACCTTCAATACAAAAAAGTTAAAAGCCAAGTGTCAATATTTACATTTCAATGTCTTTGTTCGAGATAAAATTATAGGGATGAGTATCGCTAAAAATTTCGTATTGCGATATATCACGATTTTTTTCCCAAAATATCACGATAATATCATGATATTTTTACAATCATTACCCCCGGGGGTAGGGTGGGGCCACAATGACCGATCAAAGCTTTACTTAGGAATATATTGGTAAAATCTTTAAAAATCTTCTTCTCAAGAACCATTGGGACAGGAAAAATGAAACTCATGTTGAATCATCCTCAGGAAGTGTACATTCAAGTTTGTTCAAATCATGACCCCCGGGGGTAGGGTTGGGCCACAATGGCCTATCAAAGTTTTACATAGGAATATATAGGAAGAATCTTTAAAAATCTTCTTCTCAAGATGCATAGGGCCAGGAAAGGTGAAACTCATGTTGAATCATCCTCAGGAAGTGTACATTCAAGTTTGTTCAAATCATGACCCACGGGGATAGGGTGGGGCCACAATTGCCGATCAAAGTTTTACATAGAAATATAGAGGAAATATCTTTAAAAATCTTCTTCTCAAGATCCATAGGGCCAGGAAAGGTGAAACTCATGTTGAATCATCCTCAGATAGTGTTCATTCAAGTTTGTTCAAATCATGACCCCCGGGGGTAGGGTGGGGCCACAATGGCTGATTAAAGTTTTACACAGGAATATATAGGGAAATCTTTAAAATTTTCTTCTCAAGTACTGCAGAGCCATGATTAGTGATATTTATATGGAAGCATCCTCAGGTACTGTAGATTCTAATTTGTTCAAATCATAACCCCCAGGGATGGGTAGGGCCACAATGGGGGTCCAAGTTTTACATTAAAACATATTTTAAAAATTTTTTTTCTATAGAATAGCAAAGCCATGGTTAGTGATATTTATATCAGGTGAATAGTTAAAATGATAAAGAAATGATGGATCTCAGTGAAAATTCAAATCTTTTTACATCAATTTTGAACTCGTTTAATGGACTGTCACAATCATTTATTGGTACAAATAAGGAAAAGGATTTTGCACCTTCAGTGAGTATTCCAGACTTTCTACATGTTAAACTAAATGCAGAGAGTGTAACCATAAATTATGATGGCCAGCAGCACGAGTTTGTATTATCTGTGCTTCAGAAGATGCTTCTTTTCCATGGAAATAATAAGAAAAATGGTTGCATCTATAAATCAATGTGCGACTCAGTAACAGTAACTATTTACAGAAGCACAAATACGGTTCTCATTCAAGGGACTGGTGCATTTGAATGGTACCAAAATGACTTTATAGAAGAAGTTAAAAGTCAAATGGACATCAGCCAAAATGACTCTCTGACAGATTGCAAGATTATTGTCAATCAACCAAGCTGCACATCAACTCCAAGACCTTCAAAACAAAATGAATCAAGTGTGGAGATAGATTGCCACCAGTGTAGCAGCTCAGAAAACGTACAACTTCTTTCTGAAACTGTTAAATTGCTGACACAGGAAGTAAATCTTCTAAAGAAACAGCTTTTGGATGCACGACAAACAAAAGCCTGTGCCAACACCTTCACACAGACTCCGAGAACACAGATGAAACAGAAGGCAACATCGACCGAAGGAATATCTGTTAAAACTGGTATATTGCGACACAGCCAATGCTCATTTAGTGTTGACAAAAAAACTACCAGTACATCAACAGATACCATGGATTCCAGTTCTGTATGGAAAAACACACAACCCACACAGAAAAACAAAATGATGGCGACAAAGGACAGTCCTAATTTACATCCCTCCAGAGAGAGCCAGCCTTCATCGACTCCTAAAGGACGAGGAAACTTCCCCAGGATTTCGAATTCTCCATTTATTTCTACAAGAGAACGAACCCAAAAAACTACCCTGGTCATCGGAAGTTCTATTCTTCAATGAATCAAAACCCGAGGCTTAGATTCGAGTGTGAATGTTAGTACTAATCGTGGTGCTAACATATCACACATCCGTACAAAACTTCAAAGATATGATATATCTGCCATCGAAAATGTCATCATCCAGGCCGGCGGTAATGATGTAGCTAACCTGCGCAACATCGATGCGATTCAGAATGATTTCATTGAAATCATCGGAGATCTAAAGAGGAGAAATCATACCATTTCCGTGTTCATATCAGAAGTGATGCCAAGGTGTGATGCGGATGTTACTGAAATTAATGAGTGCATAAAGTATATATGTGAGGAGTATGGTGCTACGCTTATCGAGACCAGCGGATCATTCAAGCACTGGAATTCCCCTTCCTTTTGGAGAGATGGCATTCATTTGTCTGATCGCGGTACTTCCTTGCTTCTCAAGCTGTACAATACCCATGTGAAAATCCTTAAGCAACAAAGGCCCTCATCTGTGCAAACATGCTTTTACTGTGGAGAGCAAGGCCATTCCTCGCGAAACTGCCGACATGGAAACAAAGTTGTATGTTGGTATTGTGGTGAGCATGGTCACAAACAAAAGTTTTGTACCAGATAGGGTCACGGCAATGAAAGCTGTGCCGGTGATACGAATAACTGTCCCACTATCAATGTCAAAAATTATTTTGATCCTTTGAATAATCTCTGTTTTGACTGTAACGAATTGATTTGCACCTGTTCTTTAATTAATAATTGCTCAAATGATTTAAATCTTACATCAGAACTGATAGATACTTGTTTTGATAAGGAAAACACTTTTTCGAATCTTAAACAAACAAATCCTAAAAATTCTTCTCCAAAACCAGATACCTCAAATGAAATAAAACAAAACATATGTAAATCAAATCTTGGTTTAATGAAAAAGGGCCTACATTTTATTAATTTGAATGTGTGTCACATTATGCCAAAATTAGATGAATTGGTTTTGTATTTACAAGAACAGCTTTACACTGATATATTTTCCTTATGTGAAACATTTCTTGATGAAAATATTAATGATTGTAGTATAAATATAAAAGGATATTGTTTGGAAAGAAAAGACAGAGTAGGAAAGGCTGGTGGTGGACTTGTTACTTATATTTCAAATGATTTGAAATATAAACGCCGTAAGGATTTAGAAATAAGCAATATTGAGACAATGTGGCTTGAAATTAATCTTAAAAATTCTAAACCTATACTTTATTGTTCAGTTTACCGTCCACCATCTGCCCCCTCCTGCTGGGTAGATGATTTTGTCCAAGAGTTACAGTGCGCTACCTGCTGTGACGACCAGGAAGTGATTATTGCAGGTGATCTCAATATTGATATGCTTAAAGAACCCCCGCGGAGTTGGTCATCTGCAATTGTAGACTTTGGTTTAACACAATTAATTAACACCCCAACAAGAATTACTAATAGCTCTAAAACTCTTATTGACCATTTCTACACTACGCACCCTGCTAACATATGTGAAATAACAGTACCCCCTGTAGCGATATCTGATCATTATCCTATATGTGCCACACGAAGATCTAACAGCATGCAAAGAAAAGGCAAACATATTGAAATACAATACCGTGACTTCAAAAATTTTAATGAAACAAACTTTTTGCATGATTTAAACAATGCAAATTTTGATGAATTAATTCTACTGCATGATCCCAATGACATTTTAAACGGTTTTTATGATATTTTCAATGCTATAATCAGTAAGCATGCAAAAGTAAAAACAAAGCGTGTGAAATCAGAATTCCGCACTAAATGGTTAACTCCAGAAATAAATAATGCTAGGAATTTTCGAGATCAATTTCATAAACAGGGAGACATGGATAATTTTAGACTTTGGAGGAACAAAGTCACATCTTTAATAAATAATGCAAAATCTACGTATTATAAGGAAGTAATTGAAAATAGTTCTACTTCAAAGGAAATGTGGGGCCACTTAAATCAGTTGGCCTCAAAATCAGACAAAAACTCGTCTCCTTCCAATATAACATATAACGGTCTAGATCTTGATAATCTACAAGATATTGCAAATGCCTTTAATGAGCATTTTGCCCAAATTCCAAAAAAAATAATAGATAATCTTTCGTTTACTGCTTTTAAATCAGAAAAATTGAAAAGATACACGGAGACAAAACTTGGAGATCAAGACTTTTTTGAAATCCCTTTGATTAATGAAGAAAAGGTATTCGAAATGTTAAAAAGACATGATGTAAACAAATCTGCTGGTATAGACTTTCTTGGACCTAGATTGCTTAAACTGTCAGCTAGTATAATATCCAAACCTCTAACACACTTGATAAATTCTAGCATAATCAATGGATCTTTTCCTTCACAATTAAAGGTCGCAAAAGTAACCCCCTTGTTTAAAAAGGGCGATAAATCAGACCCAGGAAACTATCGTCCAATCTTGATTTTACCAACGATATCGAAAGTTTTAGAGAAGCATGTAGCAGAAAATATACGCATCTTTACTTCTCACTTTGACTTGCTAATGAAAGCACAATCTGGATTTCGAGAACTTCACTCATGCCAGACAGCTCTCACAAAACTAACTGATGATTGGTTGCATGCAATAGATAAAGGAAATTTTGTAGGTATTACATATCTGGATTTTAGCAAAGCATTTGATCTTGTTAATCATGATATACTAATTAAAAAACTTGAATGCTATCACTTTGATCCAATATCAATTAAATGGTTTAAATCATACTTATATAATCGAACTCAAAGTGTTAAAATTGGTGCGTACACATCTGAATCACTGCCAGTCACAGCAGGTGTGCCTCAGGGCTCTATTTTAGGTCCTTTGTTGTTTCTATTGTATATTAACGATTTACCATTGTCTGTTGAACATTGTAATATTGATATGTTTGCTGATGACACTACAATGCATCTTCATGATAATAGTATTTCGCGTATTGAAACCACTCTTAATCATGAACTCTGTCAAATACAAAAATGGTGTCAACAAAATCAGATGATTATTAATACTGATAAAACAAAGTGTATGTTAATGGGAACACACCAAAAGAAATCTAAATTAGAAAACGTTAATTTTCATTTACAACTTTCCGATCATCCCCTTGAAAATGTAAAAATGCAAAAATTATTATGTGTTCACATTGATCATAATCTTCAATATACTTGTCATGTAGATGCAGTTTGCAAAACTCTTACATATAAATTATTTACTTTACGAAAAATCAAAAAGTTTCTTCCAATGCGTACTAGAAAACTATTTTATAATGCTTTTATCCTGCCATCGATTTTATATTGTCTATCCATTTGGGGCAATTGTCCTCAAACACACATGGACAGAATCTACAGATTACAAAAAAAAGCAGCTAGGATTATTTTAAATGAAAAATATGATACACCTTCAATGCCTTTATTTAACACTTTAGGTTGGCTAACAGTTTATGAACTTTTATATTTACAGAAAAGCATTTTAATGTACAAAATATTTCATGGAATGTCTCCTGATTATATGCATAATCTTTTTGAATTTCAAAGTTCTGGATCATACACTTTACGATCAGAAACAAATTCCGAACTTCGACTACCAAAATATAAAACAAATTTATTTAAAAATTCTTTACAATATTCAGGGGTTATTATCTGGAATGAGTTACCAATTAATATAAGAAATTCTCAATCCCCTGCAATATTTAAAAGAAGTGTTGAAAATTTTCTACTTATAAAACGCAATGATTCTGTGTGATTTTTTTTTCTTTTTCTCTATACTGAAATGCTGATGTTTTTATTTGTTTGTAACATACTGATTGATTATTTATTGTCTCATAATTGTAATTTTATTTATTGTATATATGTATATGTGTTTTTAAAGAAGGCCCTGAGGAAGACTAGTGTTCGCACTAATCGGGTTACCTTCTCTAAATAAAGTATTATTATTATTATTATTATTATAAATATGGAAGCATCTTCAGATAGTGTAGAATTAAATTTGTTCAAATCATAACCTTCAAGGGTAAAGAAGGGTCTCAATGGTGAATCAAAGTTTTACATAGGAAAATAAAGGGAAAATCCCAATAACAGAAAGGCTATGTTTAGTCCTATTGACATGTAAGCATCCGCATGCATTGGATATTTAAATTTGTTCAAATCTTGAGTACCCTTTAGGGTAGGGAGTGAAGCAATGGGGAGTCAAATTCAAATTATTACAAAATAATATACACAAGCAAAATGTTTTAAAAAAGCTATAAAAATCTTTTTCTCAAGACGTTATATGCAGTATTGATATGGAGGCATTCTCAAGTAGTATTACAATTCAAGCCCCCTCCCGACCCCCCCCCCCTCCCCTCAGTAAACTTTTCAGTTCTGATCTGATTAATGTGCTTTTTCCTAGCTAATGTGCTCAGGTGAGCGTTGTGGCCCCTGGGCCTCTTGTTTGAGGTTTTGTACAATGTAAAAAGCTGCCTCATCATGTTTTGGGGGCAATAAAAAGTAAAAAAAAATATGCCTCCCTCCCTCATCATATTTCATGAAAAAAAAAAGCCTGAGAACCAAGGAATTAACTTTGCATGGCCTTACCACACAAAAAATTTGAAAATACATCAGGATCAGTATTACAACGGTTCATGTAGAGTGACAATTGGTGTAAAGACTTTGAATGCTAGTAGCATTTTTAAATAGCTGACCACTCATAGATTTAGTTATGTCTTTGAAAAAGATAGAAGCAGATGACACATGGGTTCCTTGGAACAGTCTAGTTTTCAGTATGTATCCTACAAAATCAAGATGTTTCTTTAATGAGATTTATGGAATATTTTGCCGATACATTGAGACTTTAAGAGTTTATTGACAAAAACGTCCATCAAATCATTTAAGAGGGAGCAGATCAAAACTCATTTGACAATGTGTGTTAGCATTTCTAAATCAGAGGCTAATGTTAGCTTTCCTACATAATGTTGGACTATACTGAAGGAATATGAGCCCGTTAATATGGCAGCCAACAGGAAATAGCTCTTGTTAATTTGGGTTTACTGTAAACTATATTTTCTATTATTTTCTTCTCTTGTCTAATAATTAAGCATAATTGGTAAGAAACATTTGGCATAGTATATGTGTGTATATACAAAAAAGAAACCAATAGTATGCAACAAATATCATTAGAATAAACCATTTAATATTTACATTTCTGTTTTATTTTCAGTGTATTACGTTTTATTGGTCGACGTCAGCTGTTTGCAGTCTTGTACAACTATTGTTACTCAATAATCTGAAGATGCAAAAGGTCCTTGGAATTCCCGATGTGAGACATCTGTTGTTAAAGAAAATTAATGATAAAGAACAATTAAATAGACAATAAAATCAACTTAAAATTATTATAAAGTAGTTAAATTAAATACTTTCATGTGATTGCTGTATTGGCTGTTAGACCTATTGTGTACATTCTTTTGTATTTATTTTGACAGTATTTTGTACAAGACACAAAAAATGCTTGAAAACTTATGAATGTACATGACTACAATACATGCATGTATGTTAAAATTTTGTGATGTGCTGGTGTCATTGCAATCAATGAATTTAATTTTTTTTAAATTATGAAATTTTTTTCATTACATCGATAACTATTCTCCCATAGACAATTTTCAGATCCATTTTGATTGCATGTGTTGATGATGCATGTGACTATTAGACCCCATTAAAACTGTCTATCATTGAAGTGAAATGATATACAAGATGTGAAGAATTATAGATATCACAGACCATTTAATTGGTTTCATTACCAGACTTATCTTGACTGACTGCCAAAGTCGGTATAGTATTTGGGATCTTCTCATCTTAAAGTTAAAACAGTGGTCCATTTGTTTGCTAGTAATACATGTAGAGTAAAGATGCATAATTTTTTTTATGCCCCCCTAAATCAAAGATCTATGGTATATAATTTTTGCCCTGTTCGTCTGTCCATCTGTCTGTAAATCTGTTTGTCTGCAAAAACTTTAACCTTGGCCATAACTTTTGTGTGGGTGGGGCTACGCATGACTTTTATATTTCACAGGTGTGTTCCTTTTGACAAGACCTTACTTTTGGGTACCAACAAATTTGACTTCTCGATCTCGACATTTGGCCCACTTTTGCAAAAAAATTCTGAACTTTGAGTTTGCATGGTCATAAGTTTTGAACAGTGTGTGCTAGGGCTTTCATATTTTGCATGTGTATTCACTGTAACAAGTACTTGCCATGGGTTTTAAAATATTTGACTTTGACCTTGACCTTAGATTTTGACCCACTTTTTCAAAACTTTAATCTTGTCCACAACTTTTCAACTGTTAGTACGTAGGTAAGGGCTTTTATATTTCAGCATTGACTGGTATATTCCTTGTAACAAGATACCAACAATTATTTTTCATCTTGACCTTGGATATTGACTCGATCGCATTCGAGAAACTTCCAACTTTAACTATAATCTGTCATATGGGGTATAAGTGGTAATCACAAACACATTTTGTTTAAATAAGTTTCCTCTCCACCTGTATAATTAGCAGATAGGTGCAATTGATGAACAATGATGACTCTTTTCTAAAGTTCTGAACTTTATACATGTATTAATCTTTTGGGTCATGGGTTCTAGTGTTAGCTGGTTCCATTATCAGTGATTATATAGTGAAAGCACATGATTTCTTTCAAAATTTTGTTCTCCTTGTGAATATAATTATCATGTCCCCAAACTAAAGAGATTTGGCATTACTTAGGGCAGGAATTTGCAAGTCAGGTTGTGATTGTTTAATTTTTTTTCTGCTTCTGGGTATAAGTTTAACATTTGTCCTTTAATATTTTTTTCATCAGTAATATTTATTAAATATAATTAGATTTAAAGCAATTGCTACACATTTTTGTTTGAAATTTATTGTTAAAAGACAAATTATATTATTATTATTTTATCCTTTAATTCATGAGATAATAAAAAAAACTTTTTTATCTCTATCAGACGTATGAACAAAATCATAAAAGTTTCAAGTTTTTGTTTAAGACAAAGACCCAACTGGGGTATATGAATACAAATAACACAAATTTTTTTTTTACATGATATAAACAAGAATGCATAAGCGTATGATAATGTTTCAATTCATCGAACGAGTTGTCTCTCTTTGAGGCATGTATGAGTTCTCTTCCTTGGTATAATGAAAAATAAATCATTTATTTGTTTTAGTGTCAAATATTTATTAAAACAGTGATTTCTGACTGATTTTTTTCATCTAATGAACGTTTAAGATTGCATATAATTTTTAAAAAATAAATTCAGGGTTTGAAAAAATATGCACATTACTCATACATTACCCACAATTCCCCCGCATGTTTTTCCTTCGACTTGAATATTTTAAGAAGTTAGGCAGTTCGCAAATAAACATACCATTACAGGAAGAAAGTGACAAAAGAGTGTAAGTATTTTTATATGAACTTTGCTTATTTGAATTATTTTGTAAAATTGTCAGTTTTTATCCACTTATTTCAAGGAGTATGTGTTCCAAGCGTGAAAAACGTGGGGAGACGCACGAGATCCTTGGTGCCTAATGTCGTGATCGTTTGTAGAAAACATACTTTTAAAAAAACAACGAATTTCTACACTTTTGTGTGGCTTTTTATTGAATACAAGTTTCAAATGTTAAGTGGGTAAAACGGTGGAACACAGTTTAAGTTAAAAGATGTTGATTATCTAAACAAAGGAATCCACAAACAAAGAAAAAAGTCCATTTACATAATGCATGACATCATAGTGCAATGTCTTATATTCCGGACGTTAACTTGTTTATATTTAAGCAATGGATGTGCCTACACTAAGAGAAAACAGTAGCAGCAGACTGATATCTTTATCATGTTTTTTATTACAAAGTTTATTAGTATTTTTGAAGTATTGAACATGTTGAAAGTCAACATTCATATTTTATTTTTGAAATGTTTCATACCAGAAATACTTTAAGCATTACAAACATTTACAATGTGAACAGTGAAGTCAAGCATTCTTTTTTCAAGGGAGGACCTAGAGGTTTATCAACTTAAGGGGGATGTACAAGCCATATTGGATCTAGTCTGGTGTAAAATAAGAAATACCAAGAATGCGCTTAATACTCCACTAAACTAGCCCAAAGTTACTCAAAGTGCTAATGCATTAATTACCTACTGTTAGAGACCAAAATTAGTAAACAATTAAGTTTATTTTGTTTTAATTAGGAGGAAATTAATCATGTTAGAACTGCGCAGCTACAGCATTTACGAGATGATAAATGCCTTGAAAATGATGTAAGTTTGATTCATTGATAATATGGCTACAACCATTTGTTTCGCTTTTTTCTTGTCATTATCCATAATTCTTGAAAATTTGATTTTTCATATGGGTGTCTTCCTGAGGCAATGTGTTTATTTCGTCCGCCATTCCTCTGTCACACAGAGTTCGAATAACATTGATTTTATAATAAATGCGACCATAATAACATCAAGACAAGAAATTACTAATTAATAATCAATAGGTTATATTACTCACTACTTTTATTTGTTGCATCGCATCATCTGATTAATGAAAAAACGCGATTTTAACCCCACTCCAGCAAATCGGGAAAAACTGTTCTGTTTACAGTTCGAGTTTCCTCGATAAAATTATTCCACTGAGCACGTGGTTGGCATGTGCATATATCTGCTGTGGATAGATCCGTTTATTACCATGATTATATTTAATTTTTCATGGAACAAGTCTTGATAATTTGTTGGTTTCTTTAAAACTCAAGAAAAAAAGATATAAATGTCCTAAACATATGTGTTTACGGCGGGTCTTTTTTCTGTGGCGATAGAAGTTATTTTCAAATGGGGCACTGCAAGGAGGATGCTTAGCATTTAATTTGAAAATGTTAAACAATATGCGGTGCATGAAAAACAAATTGTAATTACATGTCTTACATTCGAAAATTGGTACATATGTATATTTTGTTTAGAAGTTAGATAGAAAAAATAGGCAGTTATAGGATTTCCTTCAGGCACCTCACATAAATAGCTAGATTGTTTGCAATGACCAACACATTGTATGGAGTAATGTTTGGACATAAAAACGCATCATGTCTCATTATGTTGACAACGTTGTAAGCTCTCGCTCATTGAACATACGAAGCTTGATATAAATATATTAAGTTGTTTCTTTGAAATTTAGAAGCGAGTACAATGTTTGCAAAGAAAGGTCCATTGCATATGCTATGTCTATCATCGCAAAAAAAGTGAGAGCCCCCCCCCCCCCCCCGAAAATCCTATGTTTGTTTTTCAAAATAGTGCAAAAGATTAAAAAATTTTGCATTACTAAGTACGTGATGGAATATGTACTAGCCTTATAAGACCACTTGTTATAAAATATTTGGTTGCCCTCTCTCCCGATCTACTGCCTGGTCCAAATGGCCCGACTCTTTTTTTTTTTTTTTTTTTTACATCCCATTAAATGATATTTTTTTCTTTTTCTTCCGTCAACAATTATGTTTGAATTTTAAGGAATTTCTTTCTCACCTGTAAATACGGACCCAATAATTTTTCCCTGAGTTTAGAGGACCACCATACGTCATTTTAAAGATGGTATAAAATATCTAATTATGTTGATTTTTTTCTTTGTAAAATTTTAATTTTGACAATATGGGCAAATAGAATTTTCGTCACAAGTACCTGCATGACGTCATTTTCAGACTGTGACATCACAAACAAGGAACAAAACATCAGCATATGCTATTTATAGAACTTGTGTTTGGCTATGTTTCTAATCTGAATTGTGGTTTTGTAGATATAGAGATAGTTCGAACTTTTTGATCACCCCTCGTACTAGTAGGTATTAAAACAATGTCATTCATATCGATTGTATGTGTCTTATTTCTTTTGTGTTTCATAGGTGATAATTAAAATTTTGATAGATGATATACTAGTAAGTTATCTATGGCAAACTTACAAACTCTTAATTTTTAACTTTGATGGTGCTTATTTTTCCTTACCTGGAATCAAAGACTTTAAGATTTTTTTTTATATCAATACGTACACTATTTAACAACTGTTCGATAATAATACTAAATAAATTACTTCAAGCAACACTATAACATCTTTCCTCTTTTAAAAGTGTTCATATTATTTGAAATATTTTGCAACTGTAATTCTCTTCTACATGCATTTAAAGATAGTTATGTCCCTCCATATTAAGAAGAGGTCTGGAAAACAAAATTCTGTGCTAAAAATAGACCACGTGCTGCTATCCATGAACTACTTTCATGGTTCTTTGCACTCTTTTTGAAGACAACGGTGCCTTGTTTTGAACTTGAAATTATCATTTAAAAGTGCAAAATTTAGACATTTTCTCAACAAATGGTTGTAGAGAGAACATTAATGCACAGTTTGCATATTTTTTTGGATTTTTTAAGGCTCTGCTGAATTCTGTAGCTGCGCAGTTCTAAAGAGCATATCAAAAGCATTTTTCTGCAAAAGTATAGATTATATATACACAACATGCATTCAGTTATGCATATTTATTGTATCTTTATCATAAGGACTTAAAATTTGATCAAAATATAATGTATTTTAGCCATTTGAAGAAATGTTTACATTTTGTTCTCACTTCACTAAAGGTGGCCGGACATCCCCCTTAAATTTTTAAATGATTGGACGAACTGACAATGGACATTTATAATAACATAGTAATACGTCAAGCTTTTTTTTTAAATGTAAGATGTGACATGAACAATACAATAAAAATGTAGGTTAAATTTAAAAAAAAAAAATGATTCATGACAAAAACATGTAAAAAATGCTTGACCCTAGTATAAACACCCACATAACTTTCAGATCTATAGAAGTTTCTATTGCCTCAAATCATCATTCTATAGATGTGACATGAAAAAACAAAAACATATTTTTATTTTGCTATATTTACATTTCCAATGTCTTTGTCCAAGATAAAATTACAAATTGTAAATGTACTTTATTTCCCCATCAAATTATTGGTTCATCAATAGGCGTGGTTAAAAAAATCACGTGCAGGGCGGGACAAATAGCTAGACAGAAGTAGGGCTTGGAGCATGTGGATTGGCGGAGTCAATAACATGTAAATAGAAGGAATAACTGTCAGATTTTTCAATTTCATGACGATGATCAAGCCAATAATCGATTGATCACATCATGAAATCGAAAAATAAGACAGTTATTCCTTAAATACATTATTAATCTGCAGAAACAAGATTTAGGTTTTGTGGGGAAAATTTATGTTTAGAGTTTAACTTCTATAGATATGTCTTGACATCAATATTTTGATACATTGAAGTTAGCTTTCATTTATAATTATATTTTACTCTTAATACTGTAAGTCGTTTTAATTCCACGGTGTTAGAATTTCACGATTTCTCAAAAAAGTTCCAATCGCGATGGTTTTAATTTCACGCTATAAGAAAATTTCTCACAATCAATTAAACGTTTTAATAGCTAATGATAGCTTTCACGATGGGTTTATTTTCGCGGAAAAATGATGAATTGCGAACATAGCGAAATTAAAACAATCGTGATTATTTGCCAATTTACAGTATCTCATCCTTTATGCAGATAGTCGAAGTTTTACATGGTTCATTCCATTTCAACATGTTCAAGATAACGAAGTTGAACTGTATCTCTTTAATACTTTACTGGAATAGATCAAATCTTTAAACTGGGAAAAATTATAAGGTGCCAGTTAATTGCTACGTTGTCAAGTAATGCTACAGACTATTATTTGGCATATCTGGCTGTACATGTGATGTTGGTAACAAATACTTTGATGTGAACATATTTTCCATTCTCATTTCTTTACATTACTATGTACATGTTGTATATAATATGTAGATATTTAATATTCAGTGTGTGGTTTGATTGGATTGTAGATAGAGTGGTGAAAAGAGGCATCCCCTCTTTTTTCTATATATTTTTGTCCTATTTGTGTTGGACCAAGTACTGTTAGAAAACCAGCAACATTCTGGACGGACAGACAAAAGTGGGTGGTGCTTCTCCACACACCGGAGGAAGGTATGTATGGGCTTAAGACTGCCAAAAAAAATTGTTGACACCTGAGTCAAAGGCTGCAAATATTTCTCATTATGAATCTTGATTCCTCAGTCTTGGCAATTGAAAGGTACTATTTTAGAATACATAATTACAAGATATTATTATAAGACTGCTTCTAAAATAAATATATACATGTATTGATGGATTTCTCATCTGATGAAAATTTAATTCATATTGCTCTAGGAATAAGACATAGGTAAAAATGGGGAAATAAATCAGCTAATGAATGTCTTCTTATCCAGGGACGAAAAACCACCCCAATTTTCTGGCTCCGGTGCTCCGGCACTTTCAGCTTCACGATGGGTTCCTCCCAGCACACTTAGGAGAGATGGTCCTGGTCACGATGAACGCACAGATTTTACCTTTCGACGAGTCAGGGGGTTTGTATTTAGTTACTCTACAAAGAGGTTTTGAAGATTTCAAAGTTTTTTGAGCAGAGAATTTCCATTTCATGTTACTGTGACCTAATTTATCAGGGCTCTCGATTCTCTAAAATTGGGGCCGTTCAATGGCCCCGTTCCCAATGCAAAAAAGGTACCTTTTTTCCCAAAAGAAAAGTGTAAATTTCCCAATTTCCATCCAGAGTAAAATATTAATTAAAAAATAAAAGTCCATCAAACCTAATCGCAAAAAAAAACCCAAACAAAACACATTTGCAAATAAAAGTGAAACTGTACTACTATTTTATTAGTTCGCGCCAAATGCATTCGTAAACTGGTTCGGGGAACCAGGTTATTGTTTTTACAAAAATGTATACAACTATGAGTGCAGAGTATCTTGTTATGTAGTTTCGACAAAAACCAGCATTTTGGTTTCAAAAATAGACATTTCATTTAAACATTAGTAAGCTGCACCTAGAAACATACCCGCGCTTCGGCATGTTCAGTCTCGCGCTGTATTGGTAAGCAAAGTTGCCCATGTGATCGAGGAATTTCGGGACTATGTGACTAGCGACTGTCACGCAGTAAGACATATAACCGCAATATCAACACTCAAAGATAGTAATGACAAAGCTAATGTACTTTCATAAATAGCCTACGTACCCATGTTTGTTCTGTTTAACTGTTTATTCAAACCAGAGTTAGCATTGATGAGAAAATGCTAGAAAAGCAAAATTTGAGGATTTTTTTTTTATGAATTTGTGTTATCCAACTTTTCCCAAAATGACGATAATTTTCCCAATTTGAACGGCCCCGACCCCAGTCCCAAAAAGTGGTGTGAGAGCCCTGTTTATTGGCATGAAATTTAAAGTTAATTAATTTATTCCATCCATAGGTTTTATACTTTAAAAGTGGACAATGCATTTTCTCTTTTCAGAATACTTAATAAACTTACACCGGAAAAATTTGACAAACTCAGTTTAGAACTTCTCAATGTAGGAATTGAATCCCAAGTTATCCTTAGAGGAATTATTTTATTGGTAAGTTGAAGAAGATATTGGAACATGAAAAAAAAGAAGACAAGCTTGTATACTATAACTCTTTATCATAATGAATTATCTTAAGCTTTATTCCTGAATGCTTTTTTGTTTGAAGATTTTTGAAAAAGCCCTTGATGAACCCAAGTATAGTTCTATGTACGCACAGTTATGCCATCAACTATGTGAAGACGCACCAAACTTTGAACAAACCTCATCTAACATCACTGTAAGTTGAACCATTGAACATTTCTTTCATCATGTTCATGTATGTTGTACTGTTTTAGCAACATAACATCTGGTTGAATTTAATTTCTTTCATGTTTTTTTTTCATATTTTCCAGACCTTCAGACGACTTCTTTTAAACAAGTGCCAGGATGAATTTGAGAACAGATCCAAGGCCACTGAGGGTACAGATCTATCCAGATAATTTTAGTTTAAAAAGATTTTGCTGTGTTTGTATGAGGGTTGAATTCTTATGATTGATAAAAGTTGATCTTTTTTCTTAAATATATTTATGCAATTTCCAGAACTTTAATGTACACTAATGTTTAAGAGCAATATTTTATTATTTAAAAAATTTTTCTACCATCATGAAGAATTTCGATCTTCTTAATAACAAGTATAAGCATATTTAAATTTTTTACTTCTTTTAATTTTACAGTTTTTGATCGCCGAGACAGCCCCCTTACACCAGATGAAGCAGAACAATATCATATTGCCAAGCAGAAAATGCTTGGCAATATCAAATTCATTGGTATGTCATGAATGTTTTTTTCCTTTTCTATTTTTTACTAAGATATATTGCTGACATTTTCAAAAACCCTCTCAAGACAGACAGAATTTCATTGTTTTATTTTGGATACATTACAGGAGAACTTGGGAAACTGGAAATGCTTCATGAAGGTATTCTACATAAATGCATTAAACAGCTTCTGGAGAAGAAGAAGAACATCGCTATGGAAGACATGGCTGAAGACCTCGAGTGTCTGTGTTACCTAATGCGCACCGTCGGACGACGTCTTGACACCAACAAGGCCAAGGTAAAAAATTATAAACTTAACTTTAAAAAGAAATCTAAATCAACTATAAGCAAGTGCCTTTTCACAGCTGTTCTCTCTTTTCCCCAAAGAATACACAAGCGATTTATTTTTCTTTTTTGTATGGTAACGAAAATATTGTAACGGTCCAGAGATTTGATAGATTAGTTTTATACAGAGTTATTGAACCTGATTATTGTTGACATTGTAGGAGAGTTAAGATGAATTTGTATATGTGTTATAGATACTTGACATTGCAGGAATATGTGTTAATTTATGGTTTGCATGTAATTGATAGGTGATTATTGACAAGTTTAAGTGATTTACGTGAGTTGAAATAGTTTGTGCACGTTTTGAGTTACGTAGAAATCAGCTGATCATAGCAGTAGTAAAGTTGTGGTATTATTTTAGCTAACTTCATGTTTCAGGGACTTTAATTGGTCTTCTGTAGAAGATAAACCATAGATTTATGGATGAAATCATGTTTTCTTGAAGTTTCACTAGTTTTCAGTTAATTATCGGCAGTTTATAGACTGGTAGATTTGTTTACGAACTTGGCGGTCGTAAATTGTGGAGGTGGAGCCCGATCGTAAAAGTTACGATAGTTTTAGGATTTTTGGAGTTAATTGTGTTATTTGTTGATTTAAATGGAGATTAATTTACTTGTTTTAATCTAAGAAGGTATTTGGAGATTACTTTCATTCAGAGAAGTTGTCTTGTATGTAGTTATTAGATTTTTCTATAGACTTTGCTGTTTACGGGAAATGTCACGAGAGATTCTCCAACGTTTTCCAACATGTCCAACAGTTTCCAACAATTACGTCATATTATTGTATAAAAGAGAGAGATTCAAGGAATTTCTGCTCTTCTGCTAGGTTGATTCATTTAGAGAAGTCGTGTTTTAGGGTAAGGAGTTAGTATGGGTTGGGCGTTTTTAAATTAGATTTAATAATGACTTTTTAGTTTTATTTTAAGAAGAGCCAGGGTTATTTTAAGGATTTTTAGGAACTTTTGGAATATTTGTGGAATTTTATAGGAAGTTTTGGTCAGGTTTTAGTGAATTTTAGCTGAGAATTGGACTTGGTTAAAATTTGCTGGTTGTTTGAATTTTTGGTAAATTGTTGTTAAATTTTAGAATCACTTGGAATTGTTTAGGTAATTTATACAATTAGCTACGGAAGCTAGTGTATTTCTAAATTTTGTTCCTGTTTTTAACTGAAATTCAGACTTAGGAAATTTGCAGGAATTACTGGTATTTCAAATTTGTTAGGAATTAATTAGGTTTAAGGGATTAAGTGTTTTAGTTATTGGTTTTTACTTTCATCCAGGAGGTCTGGGAGGAAGTTTTGAGAATTAGGAGTTTTGTGAGTTGTATTGAGGTTGATTTTAGGTAAGTCAGGACTAATAGGTGACACAGACAGACTGAGACAGAGCTTAGAATTTGTTTGTTGATTGTTCATTTAAGAGATCATTCTTGTAATAAATTGTAAAACTGTATTTTGTCTCATTTCAAGTACAGAGATTTACAAGGTTTTATCAAAGTGTGATTTTCCAACAAGATGGAAATTGTGGGATATAAGAGTATAAGAACTGAGTAATGATAATTTAAGAATTTTAGTGACTTCCGTAGGTCTAGGTTGTAACGAGCTTGACAAATAGAGAAGAAAAGCTGAGAGATTTCGTGTATTTATAAATTTAGTGTAACTTAGAGAGCGCGGGTTAATAAAAGGAGGTTTAGGTTTTGGGCAGTGGTGTTTTATCTGAGTTCATTGATTAAAGGGAGATAATTTAGTGTGTTGTGGAAAACGATTAAAGAGTATTGAGTTTTGAACCACTGCGCCATATTATTCCTCCTGAGCTCGGGTTGAGCTGTGTAACGCAAGCCTTGCCACGAAAGTTAAGACAGCCCCTATAGATAGAGTGAGGGAGATGGCGGTCCCAGTAAGAGTACGGAGGAGGTTCCGTCCGTCCGCCTGCCCCCCACCCCGTTACAATATTATAATAACACAATTTTATATTACTGTGGTTTAAATAATTGAAATGCAAAAAAATTACAGCAAATGTTCAAGATGTTTTATTTGATACATTTAGACATTGATTTTTTGACTGATTCTTGCTTTTAGTCCTGGATGGATCAATATTTTGCACGAATGAGGTCATTCGCTAATAGAGAAGAACTGCCTTCCAGAATTCGCTTCATGCTTCAGGATGTACAAGAACTCAGAAACAATAATGTAAGAAACTGTAATAGTTGTTGATGGTCATTATGCTTTATAGTGATGTCTTTGTAAAGACAATGGGGGTAAAATTAAAAAATAGTCAATTTAACTTATCGACCATTTCAGTGGAAACCGCGCCATATCAACAGAGAAAATGGACCTAGGACAATTACAGAAATAAGAAAAGAAGCCGCTGATGTAAGAACAGTTTCATATAAATTTTAAATTATTGAAGATATATACCGCTGATGTAAGAACAGTTTCATATAAATTTTAAATTATTGAAGATATATGTTAGATGAAAAACAGACTTATTATTTTGTTATAAATTTTTATTTTGCTATATACATGGCATGATGCATATGTATGTAAATATTTTAAGAAATGCATTGTGAATAAGATCAATGAAGGTCCTTTCTTTTTTCAATAAAAAGGAGGAGGGAGAATATTATCCGATGCCACAACAGAATCGGATGTATGGAGGGAGGCAGATGAACGGGAATATGCAGGGCTGGATGTCTGGACAGCAGGGAAACATGGGAGACTTATTTGGAATGTCAGGTCCAGGCATGATGATGGGTAGGAATCAGAAAATTAAGATTTTAACTTACTATTTATGAATGGTTTACATGCATAGGCACATGGCCAGTTTAGTTGACTGGAAAATATATTGAAGAAATTATGGAAATAAGGCTGGAATGAATTTAGTTTTAAATATAAATATAAAGGTTAAAAGGTCATGGTTATGGATATAAAAAGAAGTTTCCCAGTTTCTAATTTATATTTTGTTTTAGTGTCAGAATGGTTAGACTTGTGGATGGATCTGAATTCCTGTTGATTTGATTTCAGGTTCAATAGGTACAGGACCAGGTGTGATAAATGACATGCCGGGTTACATGGGAGGTAAACAGAGAATGATGCCGCAACAGGGGCAGGGATTCAATAAATTCAATAATCAACAAAGGGACACAGGGATGCAGAGGAGACAGAATGGGGGAAGCCCCACCATGGGGCGCCACTCCCCACAGAATCAGCAACAGTTTCAGCCAACTCACAGTAAGTCTGGGGATTCAAAATCTTTGATAAAAAGATAGGTATTCAACAGGGAAAATTAAAGTTGATTCAAGTTCTTGTGTTGGTAAAACAAGCTAAAAGTACCATTATAAAGACAGAAAAGTAGACATATACCCGATTTTTGCATTCTTTGTATTTGATTCTAGTGCACTTGTCAGACCTTTTTGTCATCAAAAGAAATGAAGTATAATACAGATTGTGTCTTTGTCTAATTAGAGTTGCTGTTTTAGATAATGCACCAAGAGATCTGCCACCAAGGTTTGTCAAATTAGCCCAACAGCAGCAATCACAGACTGCTCCCCCAGGGGCAATGAATGGAACAGCTGTTGTCATAGTTCCTCCTAATGAAGAAATCAGTCTGAGACCAGCCAAAAATTTTAACGTTTTTAAGCCAAACACGCCAAGTAATTTGCCAAGGTCGACACACCCCACAGCACCAACTGCAGGTTCTATGAGAATGACAGCGGCTCCAGACCCACCAAAGCCTCTACTCAACAAACAGGTAATGTAAATTCCTTAGATTTAGGGAATAACTATTTTCTAATTTGGTATTTGTGACCGTTAATGCTGATTTAACGATCGCAAACTGAGTTTTACCAGCGACGCATAAGCTGAGCCAGTAAAACTCATTTTGCAACTGTTAAATCAGCATTAATGGTTGCAAATACCAAATTAGAAGATAGTTATTTCCATTCTAATGCAATCTATGCATTTTGTTTGTTGTTAACGTCTTATTTTGTTGAGTTTTGTAACATGAAATACGTCACGGGGCATTGTGTTTTTGTGTCACTCTATTATGATGTCACAATGAAAAGATTTCTCTCTTGTTAATGCTTGTTTTACAGCTTCAGACATCAGTGCATTATCCAATCAAAATGAGTTATACAAAACAATTGCATTAGAGTATGCTTTATTTAGCGATATGATTTTTAGATGTCAATCTGTTATGATTATAATTTTGTGTTTTGCAGCCTCAGATAACCATTAAGCAGGTGGAGAGTAAAGAGAAGCCCAAATCAAACAAAAGATTTACACCCAGCAAAGATGAAGCACAGAAGATTGTGGTATATTTCAGTTTATATCTGTATCTTTTGCTGAAATTTAATTCTTGATGTAAACATTAACATTTATATCATCTTCTGGTTTAAAAATTGTTAAGTCAGGAGACTTGGTTGATGATATACATGTATTTGCTTTCCATTGCAGGAGAATTTACTGACCGACTTCTTAGAAAACGGCGAAACCAATGAAGCATTGACAGCTTTCAAGGACATGTATGCTCCCAAAAAGTAAGTCAGAGCAGTTTACTGTGTAACTAAACAGAATGCTCATTTCCCAAAAAGTAAGTCAGTTTATGCATCTTAGGTAGAAGGTGTGTCGCGACCTATTTCAAGGTCACCGTGACCTTTGATTTAAATGAAATTTTAAAAAAAAATGTGTCTTTTTACTATTCATTTACACATCCCAAATAAAGAGCAGTTTACTGTGTAACTAAACAGAATGAATGAAAAATTACATACATGTATTTTGATGTTTTCAGTTTTATACACAGAGCTGAAAGATGTTTTGTGATTGTAGATACATACCAGAGTTGTTGACGAAGATGATGAAGATGACTGTGGAGAAGACAGACGATGACAGGGAGAAAATGATGACGTTGATCTCGGCAATGAAAGCTGACAATCTCATCACCTCAGACCAAACCATGGAGGTAGGTCCAAGATGTTTTGTTTTAAAGATGTTGCTCAGGACGATTAAGTGTGTATCATTTGTTAAAGAAAACAAGGAAGATTTATCTAAAATTATGCCTGTCATCTGCCATTTATTCAATGTTTAAACAGACAATTATAGGACCCAAATTTTACATGCCAGATAGTGATTTAAAATAATGTCGTTAAAACGTTTTCATGTTTAACTGAAGCAGAAAATTAAAGGAAAATGTGAAGAACGCTTAAAAGGTCAAGGTCGTTTGAATTAAAATGTCAAAGATCACATTTTTCTAGTCTTTTTCATCTATTTACAGGCACTTCAGTCAGTATTTGAACAGATGGGAGAAATGGAGGCTGAATTCCCCTTGATACGGTCTTATGTCTCTACCTTTGCTGCCATGAGTATCACAGGTCAGGTCGTGACCTTGAATGAGCTGGCAGAGCCTCTGGAGAATGGAGCTTACTATCCCTTATTCCTGATCTCACTGCAACAGATGCACAAAATCAAGGGCAAAGACTGGCTCACCAACCTGTTCAATGAGAGTAAACTGGACTTACTGAAAATGTTGCCAGGTAATTTATCATGCAAACAATCAACTTTTGAATTGAATATGAGTGTGTGGCATTTCCATCAAATTCCATGTAAGAAATTATATTTTTAAATTATTCAAAACTCTTATGTATAAATGTATATAAATTTTTAATGTGATACAGTATAAACTTTTTAATTCGTATTTAACTGAATGATATGAATTTGTTCAGAAATTGATCAAAGAAAGGAGCGTATGATGGAAATCTTGGAGGACCGGGGGCTGAGTTTCTTGTTTCCCCTCCTGCGCGTCCAGTCCGAGCTGTGGAAAGAGATGCAGACAGAACCCAGTGCCACGGCTTTATTCAAGTGGATCAAGGAACATGTCAACACTGATCTACAATACTCTTCAGGATTTCTGAATATTCTTACTACAAGGTATAACTGGATAAAAGCTCATCATGCAAGGTGGTCAACCTATATAAAGTGTTGTGCATGCACTGATTTTAACGATACTGTGAATTCTAATTAAGCATATGAAGCGTAATATTATGTTGAATGTTACAGTTTGATGAAATATGTAACTCAAGATTCCACTCTTGGGGATGATGTAGACGCTACAGTGGCCCCAGAAAAAACACTGATAGACAAAGAAAAACAGAATTTGGAGAAAATGAAGGTAATAGGATCAAGATTTAAGAAATGTTGAATATTTGTGTTTAATGTTTAAAAGATTTTGACTTTTGTGTAACATTTTTGCCACCTGAGAAAATTCAATACACATGTACAATTGAAATATTTTATCTATTTTAGGGAGTTTTGCAGATGTTTCTACATGAACATGTTGATCTGCAAATTGCTGCTCTGTATGCAGCTCAAGTCTTTTGTTACTCTCATGAATTCCCAAAAGGTAAGCCAAATAATTATCAATATGCAGTGAAATGAAGAATATACATGTACATGTATCTGAACATACCATAAATCACCATATTAATACATTGGCTACTTTATTTTGAAGTAATTCATTACTTACACATATATATTTTTTACCCAAAATGTTGAAAATATTAAGTAGAAAATGATTTAAGATTGGTATTAAGGTTATCCACAGTTATTATAGACCATTCTGAAAATTGCAATTAAGAGTGAAAAAATTGAATCATAAGTTTGTATCATTGTCCATGTTTAGTTTATGTAAACTTTTATTAAACAGGTATGCTGTTACGTTTCTTCATGAATTTATATGACATGGAAGTTGTTGAAGAGGAAGCATTTCTGAAATGGAAAGAGGAAGTTAATGACCAGTATCCAGGGAAAGGGAAGGCTTTGTTCCAGGTAGGTAGAATGTTCTATTGTTACAATGACAAATATTCCATGGACCCAGTTTAATGATAGGATACTGTAGATTGTTTCACAGTGGATAGACTATGAGCATCTACTCTAGAGTTGTGAAGTAAGGAGTTGATCCTTACATTGTGGGTTCGAATCCAACTATTGGATGTGGATACCGGTCCTTCAGATGAGACTAGGGCTGTATCAAATATCGATATGTATCGATATTCAATAATAATATTGTATCGAAAAATAACTTCCAATACGTATCGGACAGACAGTTTTTCTTCTAATTCTGTTAATAAGATGGGAATTTTAATCAACAAAGATTATAATTCACTTTTTTGAATTAAAACTGTTCAATAATTATATAATTTGAAAGGAAATAACACAGTTTTTATAATTATTACAAAGTACAAAGAGATTTTTATTTGAACATGAACTGTCATTAAACTTTTACTGTCATTAAAAGTTTTATTTTGAAGTGTTATTTGTAATGACAATGACACAAGAACTCTAAAATGGGTAATAAAACACTCAATTGTTATGAAATTCATGCATTAAAATGATTTAGAAGCCTTTTCTGATTGACTTGTTTTAGAATCCAATATATCGCATATCGCTTTAAAAAATATTGTATCGTATCGTATCGAAGTTTTTGGCCCAATACACAGCCCTAGATGAGACCGTATAAACCGAGTTACCATGTCACAGTGGGTGCTGGCACATAAAGATCCCTTACTGCTCAATGGCCATAAGTGCCGAGAATAGGGCAACATTTGCATCGCTCCATGGGCAATTGGTGGTGTCTCCATATGAGTGAACAATTCTGGAGAGGGCATTTTAAATAAATATTGACTTATTTTCACTGATAACAGGGATTTATCTGCATTTTATTGTAGGAAGCACCTGCTTTATAAATGTTCCTTCTATGATGTTTAGATATTGAGTAAAGCGATGTATTTGTAGGTGAACCAGTGGCTGACTTGGTTGGAGCAAGCTGAAGAAGAGAGCGATGAAGATGAAGATTAAACACTGTCAAAGTTTGTTATAGGGAGAAAGGATAGGCAGAGGAATATGGATTATTTTTATCTTGGATGTTGTCATCATAATTTTGTTCAACATCTTTTGTGCACTCTAAAACTCAGATGCTGTTAACATTTGTGCATTAAAAATAGTCTTTAAAAGTCAAAACAATGAAAATAGTAACATTATCATGGAGAAACCTGCAATTTGTAAAAGAGGAAATTGGGTATTTTCATAGAGGATTCAAGCCATCTGAAGACTGTGTCTTTTGAATCTAAAACTAAAGATGTGCATCACTTGAGAATTTTATTGTATTTGAAATCTGCTTTGCTTTGGAATTGTTTTGAAATTTTATTCACATGATTTGAAGGGAAATTATATTCACATATTTAAAAAGAATTATTATGCTTTGTTGAAAATATGCCATGTATTATTTATTAAGTTTGAGTGAAATTGGACGAAATGAACTTTATTGTTTGCTAGGTTATGAAGGAATGTTCAAGCAATTTTAAAAGATCAACTTTGATTTGTTTCCATATTATAGTTAAAGTGGAATTTTTTTCTTTTTTTATTGAGGAGAGTGAAAAAAGGGTAAAATTCTAGAATCTGAGAAAAGATGTCATTGAGACCATAAATTGTATTTTGATTTAGAGTTAAAATAAATGCCAGAATTTTAACTGTAAAATAAGCATTTGGTATGCATTTACATGTAAACTGTGAAGGAGGGTGTTTGGTGAAAAAAATACATTTTGGTAGTGGGTGTGATTTAAATTTTATATCCAGGATTAACTTAGCTATATGTTTTTTTATAAGGAGATTTTGTATTTGCTTTCTAATGTTTCAACATTCATTAAATATTTAGCCACTGAAGGTATTGGTCCTCCTTTACACCTAATTATTCTTTGTCTCACCATTTGTCACAGGGATGACAAAGTACATTAAAATTTGATTGTTTGGAAGAATTTGAAAATACATATTGCTCAATTTATCATAGATAAAAAAAACATTTAAAACGGTCAGAATCAGTAAGGTAACAATTGTATTTTACATTGTGAAAAATTGGTAGGAATCGCACAGAATATTTCAATGTATGGGGAATGCAGGGATTTGTGAATCGTTTGTGATTGTGATGCTGAACATAGCCACTGTGTTTAACTAAGGATGGGAAATGAAGTATTGAGAATTTGAATTTTATAATGTATCAAATAATTTCTGTAATTGCTTGTGTATATACTTTGAATTAGAACAGTGCATGTTGTAGATAGGATAAGCATATGTGGTAAATTATTTTTATGTACCTCTTAAAAATTTTATGAGAATCTTATTGAAAAGTTGAAATGTGCATTAGAGAAATTCATATATACATGTAAATGTGTCAAATTTTTAACATGTAAATTAACCAGATTAGCTTTATAAACTTTACACATGTGAATGAGCCTACAAAAGAAGGGTGAATAAATTACTTATATCTCATATAAATTGATTTGATAATCTTGATTTTTTTTTTATTTGTATATATTTTTGCATTTACATTAACAGATCTTTTTCTTTGTGTATTTTAATGCCAGCATACATGTTGTATATATGTTGTTTTTCTACATTTTGAACTCCCCCAATTTTTTTTAATCATGCAGGTAGACAATTATATTAAAGTAGAAGCATTTAGTATGCTACCCAAGAGATAAAGTTTAATATGTTGATCTAGATATCTCAATACATACAGGAAAAATGATAAGACTACTGGATTCATATAGAAGGGAATATAAGAAGGCATAGTATTCAGTTGGAACGTTAAAGTATATTATTCCATGTAAAAAAAGTTTTCAAATTTTAAAGATCATTGCATTAATGCCTTGTTTAATCTAATTTGAACACATATTGATTAATTGGGTGGTTTATATTGATTTGCTTTTTTTTTCATTCAGGTTTAGTATTTTAAAGTCATTTCACTTATAATTATATACTGGTATACATTTGATATGTATTGCATTCTATCAGAAGAGTTCCGAAAGCACACAAAGATTTGTGTTCTAGCAGTGTTTTGCTGTATTTTAATTAATTAATCACATCATTTTGTCAGCTTACAGTTAGCTTATTTAAAAATAAAAATATACATGTAGTTGGAAATTTTATTTCGTTATTTTTTTATGAAGGAGGGTGTTTAGGGCATATTTTATTGCTGATATATAATTGTAAAATTTTAGCCCATTTGAGCCATTTTGGTGCACCATCAGTTTCCGTTCATTTTCTTTGCAGAGGTTGCACATAATGAAATGAAAATTTGGTGTACAGATTTATCATAAGAATATCTAGGTCAAATTCTGTTTTGGGTACAGTCGCGGCATTTTTGACAGAGTTATGCCCCTTGAACTCTGAAAAATTCCAATTATTTGTAGTTTCCGTTCATTTTCTTTGCAGAGGTTTCACATATTGAAATGAAATTTGGTATTCATGCATATTTATCATAAGAATATATAGGTCAGTCAATTTTTGTTATGTGTACAATTGCGCCATTTTGGACAGAGTTATGCCCCTTGGAGTTAGACAAATTCCAATTATTTTGGGGGGAGGGGCTTAAGTGTTTTACAAACATCTATTGTTGATATACAAGATACAAAATATTTTATTTACCAATCAAGGGCCCCGAGGGGCATTTCAACGTACATAAATGAACAATTTAAACATTCTCTCTTTTTTTATCACAATATAATTAATTTTTTTTTAAGGTCAAAGTGCAATCTTCTACTAAAGATACAATCTTTTTAACTTGGATGATTGCAGACCAAAATATTTGGAAGTTATTCAAGTTATATGTCTGAAATATGTTTGTCATATTTGGTTGTATCTTCCTGATGAACGTTCAGAATGACCTACTTTTAAACCCATTTCCTACCCAAGGTGCATCATCGGGTAAAGTTTTGATGATTCCAGGCAGCATTGTATTCAAGTTTTGAGCCAGATGGACAGACTGAAATGTTTGATCACTATATGTTTGTCATAGCGCTTGCATATAACATATCTAGCTAGATGACCTACCACTGAAAACACGTGCCTGACGTTTTATGAATTAAAAATAGTTACTTCTGTTCATATTTATTCCAGTAAACGCTAAATTATCGACATCGGAATCTGCCACATTTGTTTTTAAATATATATTTTGCTGTAGACAACAAGGACCAACTAACACTCTTTACTGTTTGACAAACAAAAGAACTACTCGTAACTCAGTTTCTTCTTCATCAAACTTTCCTTCTTTTATGTATTATTTTACAACCACCCAGGTGTGATATTCATGTCTTCCACCTCATTTGATACTGAAGAGCATCTTCAATAAACAATTTTCAAATCCAACCAGGCTACTGACAAAAAAGTTGATGTTGCAGTCAATATGGTTCCCTTCATAGGTCATATTTAAAAATTGTTTGTTTCCCCTCTTCTGTCCGACTGATTAAAATGATTCGACTCAAAACTTTTAAAACCTACAGGAAAAAATGTTCCTCCTCATAAGCATATGCATATGATTTCACTATTTCCGGGAGTCTGTGTTTTATGCCCTGTTCACATATTCGTTTTTTTTTTGTTTTTTTTTTTTGTAGATCGTGAGGATAGTTTTCTTTGCCTATTTCATACATGTAATTATAAAAACATCTTTAGCCTACAGAAATTCAAAATTGATCAAATCATTGTCCAGTGATATATAGAAAATATACCAGCCACTATTATTGGTCAATTTTGATGGGAGTATCCTCACATTGAACTCTGAGTCATGATGAATCAGGCTAGCACTGTGGGTCGTGGGTCTTTTTTTCATTCTTCGTAAATGGATGCACTTCGGTTTGTAAATCAAGACAGTACGCACCGGTATTTTGTTTGGACACTTGTTTTGTTTTAAAATGATATATAATACCATTAATAACATTATTTTAGCTCATCTGAGCTAAAAGCTCCAGTGAGTGAGCTTTTATTATCATATTTTGTATGCAGTCCGTCTTTCTGTCCGTCTGTCTGTAAATTTTTCACATTTTCGACTTCTTCTACAGATCATTAGGCCATTTTTTCCAACCAAAGTAACCACAAAGCATCCTTGGGTGGAAGGAATTCAAGTTTATTTAAATGAAGATCGAGTCACTCCCTCTTCACTTTCAAGGGAAGATCATTTAGAAATGATGAATATTTTTTGGTGGCATCTTTTAAAAATCTTCTCATAAACTTCACAGCCGAAAAAGTTCAAAATTCAAGGAAGCCATCTTTACATGGTGTAGATTTAATTTTTTTTTTCAAATGATGATCACCCACTATGGTAGGTTGGAACCACAATGGAGAATTAATTTTTTAGTGGGAAAATGTTTTTAGCATATTTTTTTTCTGAAGGATAGCAAAGCTAAGATTAGTCATATTAATATGGAAGCATTCTCAAGTAATGTAGATTCAAGTTTGTTCATGACATATAGGGAAAGATTTTTACGAAGACATAGAGTATATCAGTATGCAAACAAATCTTTAAAACTCTTCTGTTCAAGAACAGCAAAATTATTAGTTGTATTGATATGGAAATATTCTCATGTATTGTAAAATTCAAGTTTGCACCTCTCCTGAAAACTTTTCGATATACTTAATCGATTAGTGCTTTTTTTCTTAATTAGCCAATATTTTCAGTGAGCAGGCGCGGAGCCAGGAATTGAAGTCAGAGGGGCGCCAAAAGTAGGCAAGGGGTCTGGGGTCTGGGTTCTAGAGAATTTGTAGGGTAAAAATGAGGTGTACCAAGTAGACATATTTACATTTTCTAGACGAAACTGTGATTTACGTTTAATTTGACAATTTTATAATAAAAATACTGATTGCAAACGTCCCCCCCCCTGTAATCCGCCACTGGTGAAAAGTGATTTTGTTCGGACCATGGGCCTTATGTTTTTTCTTGTGATATGGATCCTACCTCGTGCCTACCCCCCCCCCCCCCCTTCCCATTCCAGGAACTGCCATGGTGAGTATCATAAATATTTTTGTAGAGTATTATTGAAAGAAATATTTTCCAATCAGAATAAGCAACCAAAGGTCTAGATAGGCCACAAAGCTCACAAAATTACTATAGTTCTGCTTATTTCCTCTATGTCTATTTCCCTTGTAAAAATGTGATTTCTATCTTTTTTGGCCCCATACAGGTGCATGGGGTCATGACTTGAAAAACTTCAACAATTTTTATTCCCAAGGAAAGATTGTATCACACTGAATACACAAGTGAAGTATTAAAGTCTTTGCACCAACTGTTAACGATCGTTAGTCCAAAGTTTAACGCTTTTTGGCAAAAGTAAGTGAAACACCAAGAAGAGGTGAAATTGAATACATGTACGTTTTATCCAATGAATAAATTAAAGGTCTGGTCAGGAGAAATACATGCACATGTGAATTTATAACCCAAATCCATCCAATCAACAGTTTTAGGCAAGGTTAAAATTTTTGTGGACGAACATTTAGACAGACAAACGGAGAGACAGTGCAAAATTTCAAAATCTTCGGTTGACATAAAAGGATTATATATAAAAATAAAATACAATTTATTTGGTTGTAAATAGCTTAAAATTGGTGAAAAATCAGATTTTTTTACCCCATTGTGGCTATAAACATATGCACTACCCCGGAAACACAAAAAGCTTTGGCAAAAAATTGTATTAAATGACAGTAATATTACCTGTAAAAAGTTTACCTGTGACAAAACTGATTGCAATTTGACTACTGCAAAAACTGACTTGGCCATGACTTTTGAATGGGAAAAGGGGGGGGGTATCAAAGCTCTGTTCATTACCTATGAAAAGATATTGGAGATGGCTTAACATTAATACTGGAGTATATAATCATGACTTAACTTTCTTGAAATAAAGATTTTAAAGATTTTTCCATATATATTATACGCTGTTAAATATCAATAATATGTTTGATAGTGAATGTACGGTTGTCACATGCGTAAGTGTCGCTCAAAGTTATAGATTTGTTTGTGTTTAAATTGTTCTTGATTTCAATACTGAATTTTGAATCTATAATGTACTGTAAAAAAGATTAAATTATATTTATTTAAAAAAACAAGACGTGTTTGTGAAACACTGTATAGCGAAGGTTGAAGTTTCTCAAATGTAAAGGTCAAACTTCATGGTCAAGGTTGACAGGTCAAAATCGTTGGTATGCGATTAAGAAAGGTCGTGTCACAAAGAATACACTTGTGAAATATGAAAGTTTAACAGGACGTCCTGTTTAAAAAGTACACAATAATTGACAACGTTATTATGATTTTTCTTTTTTGTTTAAAAAAAAGAGGCAACTCTAATGTCAAGGTCAAAAGGTAAAATTTATTTAAACCCATTGAAAAGTTTTGTCACAATGAAATAACCAACATGAATGAAATCCATAGCTTTCAAGCGGTCAAAAGTCATGGCTAAGGTCAAAGTGAGTCAAACTCCATGGACAAGGTCAAGAGGTATTTGAAATATATGCCCAAAGAAAGGTCTTATTTAATTTTCACAATAAATGCAAAAATGCAATTAATGCACAGGTGAAATATAAAAGTCATAGCCCCACCCATTTAAAAGATGTGGACAAGGTTTAAAAATTTTTCAGAAAAACAGACGGACGGATAGGGCAAAATGTGCAAACCCCCAATCTTCGATTACGCAATATTTAGGGGGGGGTGGTTGGCACAAAAAAAAATATAACGTTAGGGTCCTATATATTTATACAGACTATGTGCACATAAAACTGGCCAATTTCCAGATTAAAATA